CATAATCTTCACTCTACAATTGTTTCCTCATACGTGTCAGTTCAGAAACAAAATCAGACAAAATGTGATAATAGTTACACAAACTTTTGAATATGTATGTGTTCATATAATAAACGATCAATGCTGTAAGAAAGGGATGAGTGAGACAAGTATGCATGGGGGATGCCAATATCTAATGGATTCAGGTTATAGTGATAAATGAGTATGCGTGTAATGATTGAGTTGTTGTGTGAATTGAGTATGATCATATAGTGTATGAAAGTAAAAAGAACAAACCAAAGAGATCGAGTATAGGTCAGTTATAATTGAGTTGCAATAGTGAAAATAGGTGTGAGCGTGTGATTGCGAGAAATTAATTAGATTTATATTTAATATTCGTGTTTGATCATTTTTGCAATTAACACTAGATTTACGGAACCCGTCAATTTGACGGAAGGGTTGCTCCAATTATACGATAGTAACAGATTTAGTTAACTTATATTAACTCTTTGCACTCGACGACTTTTTGACTAGAGGAGAGTAGAAATCCAAAGATTCTCTGCTAAAAAATTGACGATACTTTTTTGAGCAGTAAATAACGAATTGTATAATAATAGAATTGTAGAATTATTTGATTTCGACACCTCGCACACTGTTACGTTAGATTAAATTTGATATATTAATTAATATCGATCTTTCAAATTTTATGAAATAGTGACCGAAGCTCACCTCTCGAGTGCAAAGGGTGAGGTGACTCTCAGTCACCCTTTGTTTTAATGCTATAACTTAAACAATGGATGATGATAATTATATTAAGAACATCGAAATAAAATTATTCTATTCGCTCGTTTCTCACGCAAATTCACGATTTTCTTTCTTTAATTTTAGCATAAAGAGTATCAATGAGCTTATAAAAATCTAAGAAGAGCTTCGAATTGCATCTTCACAACGAAGAAATCTTCGAGTCCAAAGGGTTAATATAATATATAATTATTTTTAAATTAAACTAATCGTTAAAAAAAGGCACATGGTATATTTTTAACGATTAGTTTAATTTAAAAGCAATTACATATTATATTAACAGTCTTAATATAAGTTAACTAAATCTGTTACCATCGTATAATTGGAGCAACCCCTCCGTCAAATTGACGGGTTCCGTAAATCTAGTATTAATATCGAACTTGTAAATTTTATCAAACGATTAACTGAAGAGAGCCTCTCGAGTGCAAAGGGTTAATATTTCATGCACCACTAAGACACTCGTACCATCCACAAACATCCTAAATCAAACCCGGAATAAAAATCTTTACGAATATCCCGTACAAATACGTTGCTTCTAAAGCCTGGCTGTAATTACAAGTGCCATAATCCCGGTTTACCCACCGAGGATTAACCTGCTCCGACAAAAACTGGGAAAGCCAGTCATTTCCGCTGATTTAACAATCCCTTCGTACAAAATTATATTTATCCTCGTTCCCAAAGGGAAGATATCGCGGTCCGATCGCAACGGCGGAAGCCAGGATTTGCAGATTATCTAGAATTCACGCGCGCAGGCGGTCGTTTCGCGGTTCGCGAGAAGAATTAGTAACCGGGAGATTCGTGAGTGATACCGGAAGCACTGGAGCCGCGGGAATTGGCGAAGGGAGTGAAAAATGGGCTCGTACGTAATATCGCGTCTTCTTGGCTCATTTCGCGTGCAGTCGCGGGGAATTTACCGCGGAACTCTGGCGTATGAACCGCGCGCGGGTAATAATGCCGCGACCCCGTAGGGGGAGCAATGAAGAATACCGTTGTGCGTAATCTGCAGGCCGGAGGCGGTTATCGATCATCGTTCTCAAAAATAGTCCGCCAACTCGTCCGCCGAAAATTCTTGTTATTCTTACCAACGTATCGGCACGCCGGCGCTTATTTTTGATCCCACGCACACACACCGTCCGCTCGCGGATGGTGTTCACGAAAGTCGCCTATCCATTACCGACCCGTGCATGTTCGCGCACACAGGTTTATCGATCTAGGTCCCGCTGCAAGCACGCGATTCGCGGTAAGCTCAACGACCCGCGCGAGGTCGAAGTTCCAGCGATAACCTCCCTCTGAATCATGCGCCTCTACCTTCCCTGATACCTACCCTGCTTCCGAATCACTCTTCCTCCCACCTAGCTGCGCGCCAAACGGAAGAACAATCCGAGAATAATTGCAGGGGTTGCAACCGAGAAGCTCGAAGGATCAAGGATTTATCTCGAACAGCCTCGTCGCGGATAAATCCGATTCTTCCTCTCGAGTTGAGCGTTCCCAAATGTATTTAAAAACTTGCTATTTCACTCGAGTTTCATCTCGTCTAGCATCTACAACGCAGAAACTGTTACTCGAGCCACGCTTTGTGCTACGAATCTACCTGAAACTTCAATCGGCTATTTGAGCAGTCTGTTCTTAGAAAGTACACAAACGCGTTGGGTCGAGGGTTCGAAAAGCGCGCGATGTCTCTGCTTCTATTGGGAAATTTCCTGTGATCTGAAAGTTTCCGCCATTTTTCGAAGCAGTTTCTCGCGACGGTGCTTCGATTTCGATAAGAGCACGAGGTCCCGGGAGAGAGAGAGAGAGAGAAGGTTTCGAGTTGGGGTGTCTCTGGTATGGTAGCTGGTAAAATTGCACCCCTTTCTCGACGTCTTCTTCATTTTTCTTCCCCCGATGTATCGCTGTTAATATTCACCGATCGAACGCGACTTACCCTCCGCTCTGGTAATTAAAATAAACTTCGTAACAGAGGGAAGCTCTGATCGTTGCTGGTTTCTCGGTCTAAGTCGTCGTTCGTGCATAATGCCGGTAATAAAAGTTGCTCGACTGTGGTCAAAGATGGCGAACGACACTGGCCATTCTCGCGGAAAGAGTAAGGTCTTCGACTAACGACTTTGACAGTGAATGGGAAACAAATCTCGTTCGATGGTCGTGCCAAACGAACAGATCGAACGGACGGATGGGGCAGCGATCAAATAAAGTTACAGTTTGAAATAACAACGCGTTTTATTTCCGTTTTATTTCCGCGAGTCGTTAGCGGATCGAAAGGGATTTCTGCAAACGAAATGGTCCACTGGCGAATCAACGCGACACGGGGAAATATTTACTCCTTCGGTTGCAGCGGTGTATGGTCAGCGACATATTCTTTTTTCATCCCCCCGTCACGCCGGGGGGTGAAAAGAGAGAGAAAGGGGGGAGGAAAAAATGGTAAATTATGCGAAGCGTATCGGGGAAAAGTTTTCCGATTAAACAGCGAGAAATTTCGGATATCCGTTTATTAACAGTTTCGACAGTGGGAAATTTCCATCCGCCTCGTTATGGCGCGCATGATCGATGCAACGTTTAAGCGAACTATTTAACGAAATTCCTCGACGACAGAGAGGAACGCGGACCGAGTTTTCCACGGACGGGTCGTTGTTCCGGGATTTCCATTCAATTGGCGATACACCACCGGCCATCTCGAGATCCATTCGCGTGAAATACGGCACACGCACGCGTCCTGTCTTATGTAAATCATCGGTTTCTAACGATCTCGTTGCGCAACCCCGCCGCAGTGGCGCGACGCTCGATAAACTAACGAACTTCGACGTTCCCGCGGCACATATTTACCCTGGAGATTAACAGCCATGCGAGAAATTGTTTCGATACCTGTCTATCCGACTGTCTATCCACCCTCGATTCCAGGATGCTAATTATTTCCTGAAAACGAAATTTTCTAAGAACGAAAAGATGAAAGAAGACCGAAGGGTAGCAAAAAGGATCAAAGAATCGCTTGTAACTCGAGATATTTTGGAAACGAGTGGAACGAAAGGCGTCTCTGACTCGAGAAAGAGGCAAGCGAGGTCCAGCAGCTTCCGCTCGTGGAAGGAGCACGCGTTATCGAACAATCGCGACTAAATGGACCGGAAGGATTGGAAGATCGGCTAGTAACGATAGGGCGATATCGACGGCAAAAAGTCGTTCCGTTGCCGCACAATCAACGTCGAACGAAGCTATTTTTCCGAACAATACGTTTGTTAAATGCAACCGGAAGGGGACGCGGCGATCTTCGATCGTTCCCCGCGATGTATCCATTCCGTGCTCGAACGAGATCGGCGGCGTTATCGCGGGAACTGCAGTTGATCGAAGAAACAAAGAAAAATAGGGAGGAAATGCGATGCATTGAAAGCAAGCGTGCTCGATTCACCAGACGAACCGCCATTTTTCATTCACGATAACGTCGCCGCCTGTCCGTAGCTAGCGTTATTGCGACGCAATCGATGTCTTCGAACAGAGAACACGAAAGCCCCGAAAATTACGCCGCAGAGCCGTCGGCGACACGCGTGCCTCTGTGTGTGTGTTTTCGTAAAACCAATAAGGGTGAGTGTATTCCGCGATCCATCATCCGTTTGGATTACCAACAGGGTGTATCCAGTTCCAGCGGTCGCCGGCTAGATCACCGCCATTCTTCCGCTTTATTTGTATTCCCGCCGGTACCACGATCTGCCCGACATAATGAAAATGGCGGAACGTACTGCGCGTATCTCTCGATTAAATACCTAGCATAAAAACGCTCACAACGAACGTGTCCGACATCCGGGGAACACTGACGTCTGACGGGGATGACACCGAATCGTTGTCGATTTTATCGCTGTTGTCAAGGGGAAGATGTATATATATTAGAGGGTTAAGAGATCGGGGATGGAACACTTGTCATTGTCACCCGGGAGACCTTGGAACGGAAGGAACGAAGGTAGTGGATCGAAGGGGCAATCACTGTCACTGACAAATTACCGTTTCACGGACTCGGGGATCGAGGGGGAATATTTTAAATCTACCTTCTCAGGGATTCATCGGGTGTTCTTTGTATATGTCTCTGATAGGACTGGATACTTGGAAGTGGATGTAAAAATTAAACGTCTGTTTCAGAAAGCGCGTACGAAGATGAGGAGCACGGCGCCAGGGGCGCGAGATCCCCTGGTGAAAGCGGTCTCGGCGAAGAAATCGGTGCTCCTGACGACGATTGCGCAGATCTTCCTTTGAGAATGGGTACCAGAACGACGAGGGACTGGAACTCGAGCGCCAGGGGCAGGTTCCTGCTGGGCATCGGGCAACGCGTAAGCTTCGACCCCGAGGCGCCGCCGCCACCGCCCCAGGCGACGCCACCTGCGAGAAAGGTCGATGAAAAGGTCAAGGTAGGTCCCCGACGTCGGTGGAGAAGTCTCTCCGAAGCTTCTCTCCGACGTGGACGAATAATCGCGAATCGACGAACGCGGGCAGCAGCCGAGTGTTTGACAGGGATGTTTGAGGAGGGTTGGGAGAAAGAATGGGAGAAGCCGGTCGAGCGAGAACTGCGTTACGACGTCGATCCAATTTGCGGAAGTCACCGTTACGAATCAGAAGTTCGCCCCCCGTCGCAGTCCGACCTTTTATTGCCTCCTCGAAAGTCCTCTCCGGACCGTCGATTATCTCGTCCTCTGGATCCTCCCGAGCGAATCGGCTGTCAGGAGCACGTAACTGCTCCCTCGAAAAGAACTTTCACGGTATTTCGATAATCGCGGGTAATCGGATTCGACCCGTCGCCGGAGGTGAACGCGCATCGCGGATAAAACGGCGTGATCGGCGCTGAAAACGTCATTCCCGTTGCGTACCCTACGTCTGGGGCCGCTGTTCCATCCAAATTGCCATGCCCGGCACCGGTTATCTTCTGCTTCGATCGCAATGGAGAGAGAGCAAAGGGTGCAACAAAAAATTGCTTTATCGGAGTTTTATCCTCCTACCGAGGAGTCGAAGATAACGCGTATGCTTATACGAGGCTCTTTTACGAGCGGGCGATGAAGCTTTTGTTTTTACAGCCTCGTAAAGCTCGATCGAGTTGATTTCACGGAGGCGGCCGGAATGACAAGTGTACTGGACACGGGGATCGTATCTCGAGCAATCGGGCATTCCACCAACAGTCGCTGATAATTTCGTTACGTATTTTCCGAACGATAGTCCGCCATTTTAATACCGTTCATAAATACCCTTCACGCGCACGTACTTCCCTCCGGTTCTTTCAAGCCCGACAAACAAAGTCTCGCAATTCGTCCCTAGCTTTATTGCCTCGTAAACGTCTTCGACGGACCTCCGCCCGTCGAGCCAGCTCGAAATCCCGTGGTTTCGTCCCATCCGAACCAATCTACCCGCTTCTATCTGATCTTCATGCTATCCGGGACACCAGTGATCCATCACGTTTGCCTTTGTTTCGCGCGACAGCGTGTGATTCACGACACCGAGCCGGTGCAATGCATTAAAATCCCTTGCTCCTGTCGTAAAAACGCGAAGAAAGGGGAGACGAGAATGAACGGAGGGAAGGAAAAAACGGCGGGCAGGTAAATCACCCGATCAACCCTCGAACACGATCGGCCGCCTCGAGAATATAGATCGCTGCTTTGAATAGAGACGAGCAGAAGCTCGTAACGACTCCGACGTTCTACCGCGAGATCGCCTGGGATAAGGGGGCTGCGGAAGAAAACTCTCGGTAGGAGCTCGCTCGAAAAGGGTGGAAAGTAACGAGGCTACCTGGTAGAGGGGTAGTGACTCCGTCAGTGACTCGCGGAATACGCGCGAGCTCGCGATTACCCCTCTCGGCTTCAAGAAGATGACATACTGTGCCAAGGGCCGACACTGACAGCCAACGAGTGTTTGCCCGGGCGCACCCTAATTGTCGAGCCGCCACACCCTCGGCAAACACTGTCCATCAACCCTCCTCCGCCCAGCCTCCTCCTCTCTATCGGCCCCTGCCACTCGACCCTTTTCCACCGGGACCAGACATACGTATATACGTATGCACGTACACGCGTCCTTGCTGCGAAAGGACGACTCTATGATTAGAAACGAAGGGTGGTTTAATTGCTGAAGACGCAGGCATTAGCCGCCGGATCTCGTCTCGCGTTACCCCGACAATTTCATTTCCGCCACGAGCCAGATATGTTTGCGGATCGTCGTCGTTCCGACGTCGTCTGGCGTTCAGCAAATACGCGTTTTACGTCTCCGAATCAAATTCCCGCCTCTTCGGCTGATTTCTTCGAACTTTCAAAAGGGACGCACAGTCATGCCGAGTGAGAGATCCGGAATACGTTCTTTAATATCGCGAACCTTGCTCGGGAATGACCCCGTATTCCGAATGGAACAATCGAACGAGCGATAGCAGCGCCACTACAAACAATTACGCCGTAATCACGACACCTCCTTCGCCAGAGGCTTTATCTCGAGGATTCCGTGCAGTAAGAAGAAAAGCTTCGCGATCCCGGGAACGGCGTCCCGTTTCCAAGGAAGTATACAAGCATAAAGGTTAATACCGCGTTTGAATAGGCCGGTGAAAGGCGCCATTGTTTCCCCTCGAGCCCGATCTTTACGTGTTGCACCGCCGTTGCGTCGGTATTCTTTCCTGGCCCGTGATCTAACGGCAGGTACAAAGAAAGAGAAGTTGCCTGGTAACCAGAGGTTTCCGTGCTCGAACAATGGCCCGCTATCCCAGTCGTTAATTGCTTCCCTCGTTCCTCCCACGACCGTCCCAATTTCGGCCGGACCTTCGATCTCCGCTGCCATATTCGCCCACGCCGCTCGGGATCTCTGGTCCGACCGGAAGTCGAGGACTACGCCTCTGATTCGCGTTACCTCGAACCCGATCGCGCACGCTGATCCCGAAGGTTGTTTACCAGCCGCGTCTAATTGCTCGGCAATTATCCACCCACGACGTGGAAAACGCCCGACAATTTCGAGAACAGGGTAGTTAACTGCGTTATCGCGGTGCTAAAGAGGGTGTACGACGATTAAGCGACACTTTCAGCTACTCGGAACCAGTCTTCCAGATAGACTCGCTCTGTTTTCTACGCGATCGCTCTTGATCATTGTCCCGAAACGAACTGCCCCGAAACGAACTTGGATTATTGAAATTAACCCCGCGATCGGGAGAACGCGCGAAAGTTGGGAATTGGAGGGAAGCAACCCTAATCCTTTCACACCGTGTAGCCGGAAAAACTTTCGGAACCCGGTTAACTGGTAGCTCTCAGGAGTAGCGAGTTTAGGGTCAAAACTTCAAAGTTGCAGGAAATTTCCGAAGCAGGGAATCCGGGATAACTCGAGCCCGGTCGTATCTGTTGGTTATTTCGTTATACCCCAGGCTTCGCATCGAGAAGTTCGATAACGTCGTGGAGCTTTAAATCGCGACGCTCCCCTTGATCCTCGCTGCGGGATCGAGATCCTCTCGCGCGTCTCCCACTCGAGAGACTGTAACCAACGGTACATTTATCATCCTAATTTCATCCATCTTTCATCACAGCCTCGTCCGTCGATCAATAAAGCCTCGAGCTGCTCGAGAAATCGGTGGTTTTCGTTGCGAAATGTAAGGTTAAGGTCCGGAAAGTTTCTACGACCTGTATATCACCGGAAGATGTTAAGATATTAGATATTAGAGCTACACGGTGTGCCGTGGTATGCGAGAACTACTTCGGAGATGGTATTCCAGAGGCGAAAATGAAAAACTTCGTATTTCGTGGAAAACTTTTTATCAAGAAACGTATTTCCTTCGCGTATAGAACTTGGCGGTTTGGTTCCGAGGGGAGCGTGAATCTGATTGACCGGAGTGAAACAGGGTCGTAAAGATGGGTCAGGCGAATTTTCGTTATTGGCTGGAAGTGACATATCTAGACGAGTGTAATTATACAGCATCGTGTGACGATCAGGGTGAACGGTGCACGTCGAGAACAAATGAGATAAAATCAGAGACGAAGCAATGGTGTACGCGCAGAATCCGTATTAACAGGTTAAGTGCCTAACACGTTTCGCTTGTCGTTCCGTTCAGGCCCAGATTCGGCTGTCAAATGGGCCACTTGATATAATAGAAATTCTTAAACTTTAGATCCAAAGATGGCAAAGAATTTAACACGAAAAGTTAGCACCTTTTGATTCTAGTCTAGCGCCGGTTCCTGGGGACCGTTAATTTTGGCGTGTTTACTTTAGGGGGTCCCTCCGTCCCCCACGCGTGTTAGTCGTCTCGTCGCAGGTATCCTCGTGTGACGGTGGTGCTAGAAGGGACGAAAGGAAAAGGAAGGGATGCGTTTCGTCCCTGGGCCTGCTAGTGGACTCATTGGTAAGGCTACCCTAGCAGGCCCTGCCTTAGACGGTAATACTATTGGAAGGTCTGGAAGTTATGTGTATAGCAAGCGGAGATTCTCTGAGGACTTGCGAGGAAAGTCCTGGAACCTCCTCAAAGTTGGGATCCATCTAGTGGCGCGGGTGAGAACGATAGTCGTTTCAAATTATTCGACGCAAGATAAAAATACTTCAAAAGCATCAGAGATGGTCCAATCGTGATCGAAATGTCTGTCTCGCCCCTTTATCTTCTTTGAGGATGACCTAAACTCCCTAAGCAATACCTTGCATCCGAGACATTCTCCCCCTCTTTTATCCTACCCTCTTCGTGCACCGAGGCATTGCTCGAATTTCGTGGAAGCCTCGCATAATTAAGAACGTTCCTGGGGGGGGAAAATGACCTATGAACCAAACGAGGAACGGGGTAAATCACGTTAAAAGTTTCAGTTCTAATGGAGACTCTCCATTCGTCTTAATTGTCGGAGTATTACGCTGAAATCACAGCGGTGTATTTTTAGTCGCGCGGTAAATCCTCGCGGAGGATTCACCGGGAGAGGATCCTTTTCCGGGAAAGAAAATTCGTCGTAACTAAACAAAGATCGAAACAAGCTCGAATAGGAATGACGTTTGCGCGAACCCTGTTGGTCGTTTCCGCGCGGAAAAATTCAGCTCTGCAGCGGTTCGCGCGCGGCGGGACACCCGGTATATCGGATAATGCAAAACGTCGGTGCACTCGGCCGGCTGTCGGTCATATTTCGCGGATATTCGTGGACGCGCGAGTGTGACCCCGAAAAAAATACGCGGCGAGGGATGAAAGAGGGTGAAAGGAAAGCGTTCTCGGACGTGTTTTGATTAATCCTGTCGCTGGGATGAATAGCACGGAGATGAAATAAAGCGAAGGGAAGGTTCATTTTTCCGAAACGTGGCCACGGTGACGGGAGTATAATAAAAAGTTACGATGGTTTCAGAGGCACAGTATCCACGGTATGATAGAGGAAGAAAACGTGGTGCGACCACACCAGGAAATGGCCAGTCTGTCGTATCAGGAGAAGAAATACCTGCTCGCGGTGGAGCGTGGGGACGTGGCTTCTGTCAGAAGGTGAGACTTGAGGAAATCAAAAAACCGGACGCGAGGTAGAAACGCGCGGACACGTTGGGGTGTAATTCGGGCGGAAATTTCGCAGGCACGTAACGCGTGGATTACCTAACGAGGGTAACGAAGGGACGGGACCCTGCGGGAAAATTTCCCCTACACGCGTCGATGCTTCTTCCAATTCGCAATTCTCGGCGCACTTACTGCTCTTCAGCTGCGTATGGATCTCGCGCGTAATTGCTGAGTAGATACAAGACGCGATTTTTTAATATTACTCTCGATGTTAGGAATTGACGGTGGAAGAATAAAGTACTCCGTGCCATAACTCGCTAAATTTTAATATACATAGTAACGAAAATAAAAGATGGCCGAATTGTGACATGGGTACAGTCACGTGTGTCGCGGTATTTTTAATACTATTTACGATGCTAGGAATTGACAGTAGAAGAATAAAGTATACCTAACCATAACTCTCTAAATTTTAATACGCGTAGTAGCGAAAATAAAAGATGGCCGAATTTTGAAGCGTGTACAGTCACGTGTGTCGCAATATTTTTTAATACTTTTCTCGATGTTAGGAATTGACAGCGGAAGAGTAGAGTACACCGTGCCATAACTCGCTAAATTTTAATATGCATAGTAGCGAAAATAAAAAATGGCCGAATTTTGAAGAGTGTACAGTCACGTGTGTCGCGGTATTTTTAATACTTTTCTCGATGTTAGGAATTGACAGCGGAAGAGTAGAGTACAGCGCGCCATAACTCGCTAAATTTTAATATGCATAGTAGCGAAAATAAAAGATGGCCGAATTGTGAAATGGGTACAGTCACGTGTGTCGCGGTATTTTTAATACTATTTTCGATGCTAGGAATTGACAGTAGAAGAATAGAGTATACCTAACCATAACTCTCTAAATTTTAATACGCGTAGTAGCAAAAGTAAAAGATGGCCGAATTTTGAAGCGTGTACAGTCACGTGTGTCGCGGTATTTTTAATACTTTTCTCGATGTTAGGAATTGACAGCGGAAGAGTAGAGTACAGCGCGCCATAACTCGCTAAATTTTAATATGCATAGTAGCGAAAATAAAAGATGGCCGAATTGTGAAATGGGTACAGTCATGTGTGTCGCGGTATTTTTAATACTATTTTTGGTGTTAGGAATTGACAGCAGAAGAATAGAGTATTCCTAACCATAACTCTCTAAATTTTAATACGCGTAGTAGCAAAAATAAAAGATGGCCGAATTGTGAAGCGGGTACTAATCGTGTATGTATATTACTTTAACTTCACTTTAGCTTCCAATAAATATATTATAAACCTAACATCTTCTATGTCAATCCTATTCCCTAGATATGTACGTAAGAACCGTGTATAAACACGCGTCTGATCTGTTCGATATCGCGTACAGGAAGAAGGATGTATAGATCGCAGCACGATATTATTGCCTGTCGTTATTGATTAATTTTGTTAAAACCCAAAACGATGTCATTGACACGTGCTGTCATGATCGGTCTGAACCGCGGAACTGTGTACGAGTATTAATTTCGCTAAAAGCAGGTATATGTTTTTAGCAATTGGAAAAACGAAAAGATTGAAACCAGACATTTCAGCAACATACGTACACGCGTCGATTATTTTCCACCGTGTTTCTTGAATGAAAATTGGAACGTAGACGCGAATCCCGTCGTATAATCAAAGATTTTTGAATTTTCGAATCTCGCGTTTAATTGCTGCATGGATGTAAGATATATCTATTTCCTCGACTAACGATTCTCTTTGAAGACTTGGACATTCCGATTTCGCTCGTTCGTTACACGCTTCAGAGACGGGTCGGTCTGCCCATCGATAGAGGCAGACGCGTCAAACGAGCACGCGAACCGGTACTTTTGATAAAGGGAACGACAAAGAGACCGACAATCCTCTTCGTTTTGAAAATGTAAATCTGAAATAGGAATATCCAGCTGCGAAAATCGGCGAGAAGTAAGGTATTGTTTCTATCGCTTTCAACGTGACTACAATGGCTAATTTGAAAGGCGGGAGGAAACAGCGCGCGAGAGCATCGCAATCGTGGCTTTTATGCAAACGAGCGTACACGCGAACGTGTAGAAATCGGTCGGATCTAGGGCTAAAGAGGTCGAGAGATCTCGCGGGGGAAGGTCAAAGGCGCGGCTTACGTATATGTCCCGTCATTGGGCCAACAAAGGATCTAATTATCCCACGAACAATCGTCCCGCGATCCTGAAACTTCTCGGAATTCTTCGCGGCGTTGCTCGTCCCGACGCAATTAATACCGATTGCGATGTACGAGAAAGTTTCAGCGGCCGTGGAATTCTCATTTGGCTCGGGAAACGGCACAACGAAATACGATTGCCAAGCCGATTCGTCCTGGCGAGCGTAATGGGGAAATCGTGAGCTCCGTGGTTGAAGTGCGGGGGGGAAAAAAAGAGGAAAAAGAGGGAAAAGAGGGAAAAGAGGGGAGAGAAAGTAAAGAAAGAAATAAACGAATGGGAGAGTTTGTAACGAGAGTGAAATGGTCGTTACCAGTGGTGCAAACATGGCGGCTGTTGTTGCAGGATGCTGCAGGGGGCGCACGAAACGGAGATGAACATCAACTGCGTGGACCCGTTGGGACGTTCGGCGTTGCTGATGGCAATCGATAACGAAAATCTGGAAATGGTGGAGCTCCTGATCGAGCACAAGGTCGACACGAAGGACGCTCTACTGCACGCCATCTCCGAGGAATTCGTGGAGGCGGTGGAGGTACTCCTGGAACACGAGGAGAATCTTCATCAGAACGGAGAGCCACACGTTAGTCGCTTTCATCGCCCAGTAAGCGTATAGTATCGATCCAAGATCCACAATTTCCCAAGATCGCGGTACCCCCTCGCGTGAAAAGGGTCCTTCCCAAAAATTCACCGGCCCGCCGTAAATTCGTGGGGCTTTACTTTACTTTATCAGGGACACTTTGATTTCGCAGCGGCAAGCTTCGCCTCGCAATTAAGCGGTGATTGCATTTTTCCGGCTAGGCAATTTCGTTTCAGTTATCGAAATTCCCCCTTTAATTTTCGCCGCTGCCTGGCTCGTTCCGCGCTCGGACGAGGACGGTCGGCTGACGAGGACAGTTAAGTAGATTCCAGCGACACAAATAGGTCGATCCACATTTTAATCAGGTAGTCCGGAGAGTTTTTCGCCGACCGAACCCCTAGCCGCGTCGCGTCGCTCGCAACAAAGCGTGTCTCGATGAAAGCCAGCTGACCGGATCCCATTTCCGGCAAAGCTTGAAAACGCTTGCACCGGTATACCGGTCGAATTCACGCCGAGTGGACACCAAGGGAAACGGAAAAATAAAGGCGCAAAAGGACACGGAATTGTAGACGAGAGGCAATTTAATCGGCTTTCGCTCCTCTTCCGAGAGACGAATCGGCTTACGCGCAGCGTCGGAAATAATTATTCTGCCCCCCTTTCGACCGGACGATTAAAATGTTTAACGTTATACCGAGTACCCTGGACACGGTCGAAGCCGAAGACATGTCCTGGAAGCAATTTCCGACACGCGAAACGCGTTTTGTACGCCTCTGTTTCAGAGCTGGGAAGCCTTGCCATCGGACACCGCCACGTTCACCCCGGACATCACGCCCTTGATCCTGGCCGCTCACAGGGACAATTACGAGATCATTAAGATCCTTCTGGATCGCGGGTCCACGCTGCCGATGCCTCACGATGTTCGTTGCGGGTGAGCCGTGTTCAAACAAACAAAGCTTCCTTTCATCGTTCCCATAAGTACGATGAAATTTTATTCGTAAATAAATCCGACGCGACGTAGGCGTGAGAGGCTACAATCGATCGTCGAACACGCGTTCCCCGTTGATTAATTTCCCCAACTGATTTAGCTTCTCGCACGATCTTCGAGCCCAGCTCACGCGAGCCAATTAAGTTTGGGTGCCTGCGTTGCGAGACTACCGACTACTGCTTTCGCTACGGCTCCTCTATTAGGAGACCCTTAATCCCACGGGATAGACAGAAATTTCGCTCTGCCAACGATATTTGTCCGAAATAACGCGCCTTTGCTCTCGCGCGAGGACCAACGCTCCGAAATGTACAAACAGCATGGAAAATCGCCGAGCGGAGTGGCGGCTGTACTGATTAAGACGGCATTTATTCATGGACAGGTGCGACGAGTGCGTGACATCGAGAAGGGAGGATTCTCTGAGGCATTCCAGGAGCCGGATAAACGCGTACAGAGCCCTGGCCTCGCCGTCCTTGATCGCTCTCTCTTCAAAGGATCCTATTCTGACTGCGTTCGAACTCTCTTGGGAACTTCGGCGACTCTCCTTCCTCGAGCACGAGTTTAAGTGCGAATACCAGGTGAGGCGATGGTTGATTACGTAAAGCTAGCTGCCGCCTCGGCAAAGACAATGGAATTTTAATTGTAGGAGAAAACAGGAGTTCAGCGTTCGCTAGAACGATGCCAATACCATCGATCGATCCGACTTTGCGACTTACATGGGGAAAATTAAACGCGGTGCTACGCTTTTCTCCTCGTGATACCCGAGATTAAGTCGGTCGATAAGGTAGCGCGCTGTAACTTTGTCACGAGGGGTGAAACGGAATAGCCCGGTTCTTTTTTCAAAGGATGTTGATGTTGGTAACCGGAAGGCGACGTAATTTCGTCCACCGTCTAGTTACCCTACTCTCAATTTCATTCGTCCGCTTTGAAGTCCCCTTAAAAGTGCCGATTACGCCGGAAAATAGAGTCCAACGTTGAATTTAGCCGTGGGAACGCGATCTCTCCGCTCGAGGAACGTGTCCGCGAAACCACAAGGGGAAGATTACATAAAACAACCGTTGAACTTCCGAGTTTGCTCACCCCGCAACCCTTTTGGCCCATTTTCCTCTTCGTTCAATTACTTCTTCAGCTACCCCCGTCTAGGAAATCAAGTTTACACTGGCGTATCCACTTTCCGGGTCCTCTGCGCTGTCACGAATGAACCCCTCGATCACGATAAAAAGGGGTTCACGGTACTCCGTGTTGTTCTTCCCCCCTGAAGAAAGAAAAATGAGGAAAGAAAAAGGAAAAAGCAACGAAATACTTCTGGCAGTATTAGAGTGGGATCGACGAAAGATATCGGAAATGGGGTGCAAAGTTGGGGAAGTAGGGTTGGCATAAGCTTCCGAAGGTACGCGGCGCCACGTATACGTATCCTTCCGACGTAGATTGAAACGTATAGGCTTTTTCTTCCAGCCGTATATTATTCCCGTCGTTTATTCGGTTTGCTCGCGCGTGAGGGATGCTTCAGGCTCGCGGAGATATCGCAGAGCCACGGGTCAGACGGAAAATTCGCAGATCGCCGGGATTCACGACTCCGGAAAGGAAGGAAATAAATCGATATAACGCAAAACGATGGTCGGGCGAATTGTTTACGCGAGGCTACTTTCGGCGAAGACCAAGATGGCGCGCGAGGTGCGAAATGCCGAAGGACGCCGGTCGCGGAACGAGAGAAATTAATACGTGGAAACGGTTCCCGCGTGTTTCAGTACGACGCAGTCTCTGCTTATTTCTGCCAGCCACCTTTGTTGACTCAAAGCGTCGTCTTCCTTCGCCTTGTAAACGCGCCCGTTGTTAATTCGTGTAAACAGCTCGAGCACACGTGGTCGTTTGGATCGGCGAAGGTCTCGAAATACTCGGGATTGTCCTCCGCCTAGAGAAAACGAAATAAGACTGCCTCGACAGGCGACTCGATGCGAGTTTCACGATCCAGCTCGCGCCGGATATTAACGTCTCGTTAGGCGATCGCGAAGTGCGCGGCCCACTCGGCGATATTAGCGAACGTTTGCACGCTTCGGTATGGCGCTTTGATGTCGTAAATGTTTGCTTTGGCGCGAACCTCCGGACGGAACAGGGATGCGCGAGATTCCTAGCCAGCTAGCTAGTTTGTATCTTTCCGAAAGACACAGTGTCTTTTCCTGGTCTAGAGACAATGACAATTCTATGGGATAATGGTTACAGGAGGAACAGGACATCGGAATGCTTTCAACGTTCCTCCAGTCTGTTTCGAAATATCTCCGAGGCGAAGACCTCGTTCGCGATTTGCTTCGAGGATGGGACGGAAATAAATCATCGCTGATAGCGAATTGATTAAGCCTGCCGAAGGATCGGCGAACTATTAACGAGGATGAGTCGAAGCACCGAGACCCTCGTCCGCTTTCCCTTTGCTGGAAAAACTTGCTTGCTCCTTCCGGAGCCCCCCTTTTCATCCCAGGGTCGAACGACAGTCTATCATCCATGGCTGCCGGCCATCTCGAGTTTCGCGAGAATATTTCAGGAAATTCCCTGGAACCACGCTCGCTTTGTCTCAACGCCCCTCGTTTGGCACAGCTGAATCGCTCGTTTCTTTCATCCTTCGACAGCTTCCATATTTTTTCCTCCTTCTTTCGTTTCTCTCATTTTCGCTCGATCCATTAAACAGACCCATCCCTCTGTGCCTATCAATTTAAACGCAATAACGACCGGACAAATTGTCGACGATGATCGTTTAAATCTTCCAGGTGATCGGCGAGCGTTAAAGGGAAATAAATTACCGTCCGATTCCCCGCGTCCTCCCTTTCGCAGGGACAAAGTTTCCACGAGATTACTCCGCGCTTTTTTTTTCCAGCAGGCCTCGAACCGCGTCGAATGGCCCCGATTGTCCCTCGACAACCCGATTGACAAACGACCTATCCGCCGTTCAAATCATTTTATCGCTCTTATTCGAACTCCTCCTCGCGATTTTCACTAGCCCGGGATCGAAACTAGACGTAGCAACGAGTCCGCTGCCGAAATTCGGTACGACTTCCTGCTTAGACAGACGTTCCAGAGTCGTCAACGTATTCCAGAGAAACAGCGAGCAAGTTTCGCGACGATGTCGCAGCTTACGTTTAAGAGCATCGCGAGGCAAACTTCCGTCAGCGGAAGTAGTAACGCGCTGGAAGAAAGAGGCCGCGGAGTAATTTCGTTCTCCGCGTTGTTTACGGAACTTGGTTCCCGGAGCGTTCTCCCATCTCGATACGGCAATGTTGCGATTCCAGGAGCTTAGAAGACAATGCCAGGACTTTGCTACTGCTTTGCTGGATCACACCAGAAGTTCCTACGAGCTGGAGGTGCTCCTGAATCACGATCCCACCGGACCAGCCTTCGAGCACGGCGAGAGAATGCACCTGAACCGGTTGAAACTCGCCATCAAACTTCGACAGAAGAAGGTAATCGTCCCAAAGCTACTTCTTATCTTAACCCTTTCGCTATGACGGCCGTCGCCGCGAAGCCTCTTCCGTAGAACGAAGCGACGCGTCAAAGATGGAATTTTTAAGAAAAAAGGAAAAGGGAAAACTGAGCATCGAAATAGAGCTTGCAATTCATTGCGAAGAGATCTAAGAAGAACGGTAGCACTTGTCTTAACTTTTTACTCAGTTCTTGTGGACGGGGAGTATAGTCATCCGTCGTGTGTAGATGGCGTCGCATGGCCGGTGACTATAGGGACCCATCGCGTGTAAATGACGTCTCGTGTTCGGTGACTATAAGGACCCATCGTGCGTAAATGGCGTCTCGTGGCCGGTGACTATAGGGACCCATCGCGTGTAAATGGCGTCTCGTGGTCGGTGACTATAGGGATCCATCGTGCGTGGATGACGTTTCGTGACCGGTAACTATAGTCACCTGTCGTGCGTAGATGGCGTCTCGTGGCCGGTGACTGTAGGGACCCATGATGCGTAGATGGCGTCTCGTGACCGATGACTGTAGGGACCCATCGCGTGGAAATGACGTCTCGTGTTTGGTGACTATAGGGACCCATCGTGCGTAAATGGCGTCTCGTGGCCGGTGATTATAGGGACCCATCGCGTGTAGATGGCGTTTCGTGACCGGTAACTATAGTCACCTGTCGTGCGTAGATGGCGTCTCGTGGCCGATGACTATAGTCACCTGTCGTGCGTAGATGGCGTCTCGTGGCCGGTGACTATAGGGATCCATCGCGCGTAAATGACGTCTCGGGGTCGGTGACTATAGGGACCCATCGTGCGTGGATGGCGTTTCGTGGCCGGCGACTATAGGGACCCATCGCGTGTAGATGGCGTCTCGCGACTATAGTCACCCGTAGCAGCGAAAGGGTTGAGCGAATAACGAAAGAAAGATCGCGAGTCGTGGGAAAAAGTAGTTTCTCGATGAAGAGTATCGCTGTAACCTGGTTAAGCCTATGAGGGGTAGCTCGCGACGAGTGCCAACTCTGAAATTAGACCGTAATAAGTAGAAGTTCCTAGTGACATGACCGGAAACCGTCGACCAATATTAGATTATCTCGGAATTTCCAGTTCGTGGCGCATCCTAACGTGCAGCAGTTACTCGCATCGATTTGGTACGAGGGTCTTCCAGGCTTCCGGAGGAAAAACATGGTGCTCCAGGCACTGGAGATCGTGAGGATCGGTGTCCTCTTCCCTTTCTTCAGCGTCGCGTACATCATCGCGCCGCACAGCATGGTCGGTCAGACCATGAGGAAACCCTTCATCAAGTTCATCTGTCACTCGGCCTCGTACTTCACTTTTCTCTGTGAGTATCTGCCTACTGCCGAGCGCGAAACTGTTTTCGGAACGTCCTAAACTCAGCCACGATCAAACGGACCTCGACTTTTCCTTTTTCCAAACAAATCGTCACTCCCGGTTACGAGATTTCGCGAAAGAAATTCGTTTGCGTCGATGGTTTATCGAGTTCGTTCGACCTCGTTTCTCGACGATGTATTTTACCTTTCGGCACGTCAGCGAATCAAACATCGGGACCGGCTTCTAAACAGTTTACAAATACCTCTCACGGCAACCGCGGCTCGCGAATACCTCTCACTACCAATAATAGCAGAGTGCGGTAATGCTCTAAATTTGAGACATCAACTGCCATTACCGCGGAACGAGAAACATTCGAGCCTACACCGAACGGTAACACCCTTCGACCGATTTCCATCGAGCTCCGCCGTACCATTCCACTCGAGTACAATTGGCTGCGTGTTTCGCTTGACAATCGCACGGACGTTTATGCGAATTTTTCTGGGAACGCGTGGAGGTCGGAAGGCACGGTGAATTCGAATGTAACGGCAGTTGGAAACTCGTTGGTGAATATCCGGCCGGGGAATCGAGTCTCGACTCTCTCGAGCACCCTCGGAGGACCAAAGGGGGGTGCGACGGAGAAGTTCCGCGCTAGGTTCCGGGTACCCTCGAAAAGCATAATTGACCTGGAAGTTAGACTAACGATGTTTTGAGGCACGAGGAATAATGTACTCCGCGAGGACGCGCCCGGGACGTAAGGAATTTGAGGAGATTATTCAGCAACGAGCCGAGTTAATCTCGCAGCATGTATCGTGCGGTTGCCATAACGCGCGGACGAGCAACGATCGTTGGAAACCAGGTTGAATCGCGCGAACGCCGAGTTGAGCCGGAGTTGCAATCGGTTACGATCGTTCGCGAATCACCGCGTGATCCTCCACGAGCACTTTGCCGTTCTACGAGGCAGTAAAGCGTTTCGAAGCGGTCTCGTGACTCGAACAACGTTACACGGTGTCGTGACGCGCTTCGTGGTGACTGTAAATTCGCAACATCGACTCGCGGAATCGAAACAACGTTGCATCCCGAGCAGCGAAGTAGCCGGTGATTGACGAGAATGTTTCGCGGACTGGCGCATCGTTCCAGAATTATTTCGAGTATCGCATTTACGTCCGAACGCTGCGGGAAATCATCGTAAATAACATCGATGCACGTTTATCCGCAGTCATGTTGATTCTGGCCAGTCAACGGATAGAGAGCGTGATTGGCAACTGGATGGGCCACGACGTCGTGGAACACGAGCCAGCGCCCACGAAAAGAGGCGCTGCTCCGACGATCGTCGAATGGTGAGTGACAATATTTTTAACCCCCGTTTCTCTCCTCACGCGACGGGGGCGAGGGGCGAAAAAGAACTGTTATCTTTCCTAAGAATGTTTGCCCGCGCGCGAGAAACTCGATGCATCCGACGCCGATACCTTGCATCATCGACCTCCTCTCTATTCGTCGAGCTTCCGTTAAAGATCTCTAGCAGCGGAGGCCGAAGAAAACCGACCTCTTGAAAATAAATATTCTCGTTGGCCCGTAGTCCCCCGTGACACCGCGCGAAACGACTTTTCCCCGAATCGACGAGCCAAAGGGAATACAGACGAGTTTACGGAACCGCGTTAGCGGAGCGATTTCGGGTCCTCCGGGATATTCCCATGGGACGACTGGTTTCTCCGAAAGCGGAAACGTCTGCAAAGTGTGAACTCGGTGTCCTAGGTTCATCCTGGCCTGGGTATCCGGCCTGATCTGGTCCGAGGTGAAGCAGCTGTGGGACGTCGGCCTCGAAGAGTACGTGAATGACATGTGGAACGTGATCGACTTCGTAACGAACTCCTTGTACGTCGCGACTGCCGCGCTAAGGGTGGTCGCTTACTACAGGGTGCAGAAGGAAATGGAGAACCAGATCGAGCTGCAACGCGAACAGTGGGGCACGTGGGACCCGATGCTCATATCCGAAGGTCTTTTCTCTGCCGCCAACATATTCAGGTCTTTGTCCGATTCGTTTTATTCCTTATCCCATTCGGAGCTCGAGCCACTTTATTCGAAACTGGCGCGAATCCGGCAATTTTGCCACGCGCGAGATTTCACGGTTTCGCGCGAAAAGGTAATCGCGAAGTGCTCCAGCCCTGAGCATTAAAGGGTCCTTTGCGCGACACCTCGTGAAATCCCGAGAGATGTAATTAGGGACTACTCTTTCAACGTAAATTTCAATTCCACCCTCTTCAGCTTCACGTACGATCAAACGCAACGCGACTGGTCTATCGATCTACTTGCAGCTCTCTGAAACTCGTCTACATTTTCTCCGTAAATCCTCATCTCGGTCCCCTGCAAGTATCCCTGTCCAGAATGGTGATGGACATCATGAAGTTCTTCTTCCTCTATGTGCTGGTGCTATTCGCGTTCTCCTGCGGTAAATCTCCATGTTAATTCAACGGATCGATTCGTTCAAAAACCTCGCCTGAAATAACTCTCACGACGAAATCACGTTCCCCGTTGGTCCAGGTCTGAACCAGCTGCTCTGGTACTACGCGGACATGGAGAAGAAACGTTGCCATGCCGTTTCCGCCATGTCCCACGCCCCTAGCGCCAACATCACCACCGACTCCAACGCTTGCATCGTTTGGCGCCGATTCGCCAAGTACGTAACGCTCTGTCGCGAGCAACTCGCGAATCGCCATTGTTCTCGTCCAATTTTACCACATTCACCACGAACCTGTGTTTCGCCAGCCTGTTCGAAACCGCGCAAACGCTGTTCTGGGCCGTTTTCGGACTGGTCGACCTCGAGAGCTTCGAGCTGGACGGCATCAAAGCGTTCACCAGGTTCTGGGGCATGCTGATGTTCGGCACGTACTCGGTCATCAACATCGTCGTACTACTGAATCTACTAATCGCCATGATGAATCATTCCTATCAGTTGATCTCCGTGAGTGTAACCGATCTTTGTCCAATTGAGATGCCCTCAGATATCGTCATCGAGCAATCTTTCTTCCTAATTGCAACCAGGAACGTGCCGACATCGAGTGGAAGTTCGCCAGGAGCAAACTGTGGATCAGCTATTTCGAGGAAGGCGGTACGGTTCCACCGCCGTTTAACATCATTCCTACTCCGAAGAGCGTTTGGTACATGGTGCAGTGGATGTACCGGAAGCTCTGCGGGCACAGTCGGGCGGCGAAGAAGGAGCACATGAGAACGATCAGAGTGAGATTAATTTCAATTCGACGGATTAGTCGTAATCGAGACGTTGGCTGATTTCAGCGTCGTTGAACGATCAGGTGCTACGAATGGGCGTGACGCGTGGTAATCTTCTTTGTTCGACAGAGAAAGGTTAAGCAGGCGTCCGAGAGGGACTTCCGGTATCAAAGCATCATGAGGAATTTAGTGAGAAGATACGTGACGGTGGAGCAAAGGAAAGCCGAGAGCGAGGGGGTAACGGAGGACGATGTGAACGAGATCAAGCAGGATATCAGCGCCCTGCGATGCGAACTGATCGAGATCCTGAAGAATTCCGGCATGAACACGTCCACGGCCAGTGGCACCGGAACTGGTGAGCCCACTCGCATGATCCCAGCGACCAGATAACCTCTCTCACACGAATCGTTTCGGTTTCCCCTAGTGTTTTCTCCGAATCTTTGGTTTTTATCTCATCTATGCACCGCCCCCTCGAGTTTCCGAGATTACTCGGCAACTCTCGCGCCGTGACGCGACTACGACGTTAAGAAAGGTACCGCGAGCTTGGTCCTTCGTAAACGAAAGTTTCCAAGTTCGTTACCGGGACGCTATTAATCATCCGGTGGAACCCTGGAGGAATAATTAATGCGATCAAGGATCGTCTAGCGCGAATATTGTTTCGTAGTTGGTTACCTCGACTCGAGTAACGCGAAAACTTCCCGATTTCGGCCTCGCCAGCCACGCTTCTATCGCAGTGTTGTCTATTAACGAACGCTACTAACCGACCACACACGCACACAGGCAGTCGTTTAAGTTCTTTTCATTTTTTTAGTAGCTGCTTTAGAGTAGTCCTTGGTTTTCTCTCTGCCCCATAGACGGTAGCCTTAAAGAGCTGTCCATAGGTGCGGGGGGTAAGAAGAATCGCCAAAAGGAGCGGCGGCTAATGAAGGGCTTCAATATCGCCCCTCAGCCGAGTGGAAGTGGCTCTCTGCCGCCGGTTGACGAATTTACAGCCTCGCTGCAGCAAGTGCAACAAGAGAACTCTCACGAGCTATTCGGCTCGACTTTGAGCGGCATATTCGGACCGGGCACCACTCCCAAGAAAAGTCCTCATCACACCAGCACCAACAGCGTTCCCGGACTCGGTCCGAGCAGACAGAGCCGCAGGATCAGAGGAAGCTCGAAGAAGAAGAGATGGGAGAACCTTATCGAGGCGGCGAAGGTTCGAGGCAGAGTCTCGAGGCTGATCGGTAAGCGAAATTAAATTAAGTTTCACGAAAACTGTCTAATCATCTCTACGTATTTGTATCGTTGGTCGCGTTCAAAATTGAGCATGGAGGAAAAATGAGAGCATCGAATGCTAAGAAGCAACTACTCCCGCTTTCAGGTAGATCTCGTTCCGAGGATTCCGTGTACTCGCCCGCGTCAGAAGATGGCGGCTCGAGATCGGAGGGATCGACGGACTCGAAGTCTTCTTTGGAGACTCCTGGCCACGAAGTTCAACCCACTCACCATTCCCATCACTCGCATCATTCGCATCATCACGAAGGTCATCACGTGTTCACTCACGGTCTAGGCGCGCTGGTGGCGCTTCGGAAGAAACGGAAAACATTCTCGGACTCTAGATCGTCGACCTCCGGCATGAGGAGTAGCAGCGGCACGAACCCGATGTATCCGATCGCCTCGGCTCTTGTCTCGAAGGTATCGAAGAAGCAGCAGCTGCAGAGGGCCAGCAGCGTGCCAGCAAGAGGACCGGAACTGGGCCAACAACCGATACCCCCGAGAAGACACGATGGTACTCAGAGTCAGCAACCTAGCATCGATACTCCCGAGGGTGCCAGCGCGAACGAGCAACCTGGTAAGTCGGTTCACTTACCTTTGCAACGTTTACTCGTTACCTCGTCGTGGTCTCGAGAATTTTCCAAATTTCCATCCCGAATATATCCTTCCATCGATTTCGAATCCTTCGGCCGTTCTTTTTATACCGCGATACGACCTCGAGTGACTTTCGAGGAAGGCACGAATCGGAAATAATTCGGGTTTTCGTATCTGGTGACCCACTAGAACGATGAAACGAACTCGAGGTTTATTTAGACATCGAAGAGCGTAAGTGAATTCTAGCAACAGCTAGGAAGTCTTGTTTGTTTGTGTTGCGAAGTGGTTCCGGCGGCTCCGCTGACACCATCGACCACCGAGGAGAGCGTGGTCGCGAGCAGTTCCCTTCCAGCGACCATGAAGAGAAACGGGTCGGCGACGCAGTTGCAGCGGCTTCCGGGCATCGAGCCGATATCCGGCCACGACGTATCCGGGGGATGGCTCTGAGAAGATGCACCGGTCGCGCAACAGCGACGTATCGGCTATCGGAACAGAACTCGCACGTAGACGAGTACCGTTTGCATCGGCCCGCGGAAGCTGGAGCGACGACATCGATCGATGGAGGATCACGTAAGACCGCGTGGTCGTCGGCACACGCACAATGATGCCTTCTGGCGACGACGCACTTCGCCGAGAGACATACAAACTATATAGATATATGTACATGTATCGATAAGCGACGTAGCCCGAGAATCTCGAGCAACGCGAGCTCGTCGACCCAACACGGCCCTCTTCCCTTCAACGACTCGAGGAAAAACGCGCAGGGAAGAGAGAATCCAACTATAATACGCGCGTCGTCCTCTCTCGTTTCTAGAGTGGGAGGTTAACTTTCGCGGCGCTTTACGAGAAATAATCCCGACAAGCTTCTCAATTCGGACGAGAAACTCGCGAACTGTTTGTTCGGAGAGGAATTCGAAGGTCGTCGAGATTCCTCGCGTCGATCGCGTCGATCTATCGCGTTCCGAGCGGCCATCTTGTGGCACACTAGCGCCACGTGGTCACGCCGTCGAAGTTAATCTCGTCGAGTCGCGTCGAGCCCCATACGCAAACGTTGCCACCGATGATTTTGTACTGCGACGATCTCGCATCGTCTCACGACCTAAACTACCGTACTCTTACTACTACTGCTACTACTGCCAGAACGGAAAGGGCAAGTGGGTCGACGACAACTAACCTAGTCAGCGTTAGTCGGACGATCCGATGCGAAAGAAGAGGATTACGACGATCGATGCTGCGTTAACCTTTAACGGACAATTATAATCAACCTGTCGACGCTATCGTCGATCGTGGTTGCGAACAGGCCAGCACGTCGAGTTAATCCTTACCGCTTCGGGAAGCTGGTCTACCGAAGATCGGGGCTTCCCTCGATCTTCTCTCAATTTTCGCGGTTCGACTAGCAGTCTCTCGACCCGTTATTTTATCATTCAACGAACTCTAGTCAGTGATCTAATCAGACGCGTCTTTTATTTTCCCTTGCTCGGACGTCGCGCGAGGAAGGAAGGAAATCGGTGCTCCTTGTCGTCGGGTCGATACTCGTTATCGGAAGGAGTCGCAAACGAGCTGAATCTGCCGACAATGCCGGCGAGCGAAACTACCCGATGCAGGAAAATTGGCGGAACCGGGGAACCACGGACGCGACGATACACACTCCCCTCCCCCCTGTTCGATTTCTTTTCTTTCCCGCGACCAAGGGCTGCCCGTATTCTAACAGAGTCCATTTCTCGAGTCTGCGGTGATCCTTTCCCCTTTTATTAGCGGTTCACAAAACAGGGAGGACGAGATAAATGTGTCACGACCAAAAGAAAACGAGCCGTAGCGTAGTCGAGTAGAGGCCTAAAACAGATTAAGATCCGTACTACTTCCTAGATATTACGTGTACGTATGATAATAATTATAATTAATGTGAACCCGCTGTCAGGGGCGCGAAAATGAATCTCGTTGTCCGAGGACCTCGCTCGAATTTCATCCTCGTCGTGTCCTGTTCGAGTTCGCGAGCCTGACAGACCGTACGTAATAGTATACTATACCGCCTACGTGTATTATTTATGAGATTATTATTGTAAATGTAAAGTTAGATGTCCACTTGGCAAACGTCGTAGTGAGTGTTATCTTGCGAGCGGTTATCATTGTAAAGAAACAGGGATAAAACGAAAAGAATAGAAGAGAATATCACGGGGAAAAGTATAACAGTGGAACGAGAGTACACGCAAAACGGAACCAACCAAGTTTTATTAACGACCTAAGCCGGTTGAAACAATAGATTGTAACGGAATATACCTTGAAGACGAATCATAGAATTTAGCGGAATTTTTTAACGATCGAAATTAATATCGTTTCCGACAGCGCAGCATCCATCACGAGAGCACAGATATTTTATAGAAGACACGCGATCTATATATCGAGGATGTGAATGGAGGAATGTAGGGTGACCTTGGAACTAGGCATTACGCGGTATTATCGTTTCGCCGATTTCTTCAAGCTTAGTTAAAGTCTATAAGTATTTCGAAACTGCGGGGATTCGATAAAGTTATACGGGTCCGTGCAACTGTCAGGGTACCATTCGATATTATCGATGTTCCAGAAACGAAGAAACGCTTGGCAGGAGAAGCGACTATTATTGGACAGAATTAATATCGGGAAGAGCTTCTGTGCTTGTTTTTGCAACTTTCAAACCACTCTGGACGCATAAGTTTCCCCCTGTAGCCATCGTACGTTCAAGACTCTTTCGGTTGCGAAACTTTCGCTTGGCACAGTTTGTTGAACGAGGAGCAAAATGAGAGAGGAGAAAAAGAAGAAAAGAAACATTTCGACGCAATACGGGAGATCGATTTCCACTTTTCGATTACATTCGTTTGCGACCGTAGCCCAGCGTATTTGATTAACTCAACCGAGAGTAGAAAGATCACGAATGACCATTAATAAAATACCATTTATTCTGATACATAGGTTTATTTCATACCCACCATGTCGTATAAAAGCTAATGCTATAATCCGTTTCGGGGATTTACGATTTCGAAAGACCGAAAGATCTTTCCTTTATCAAATTTCTCGAATCAGAACAACGAAGCTTGCTCGAGTGAAGCTGAACCCACCGTTTTATCTTTCGTTCGTCGTCTCACCAGCGATAATCGTACGAAAGTGAAACTTCTCCCAAGTATTACTCGCATGGAGCCAACTGACACCTGGAGCGTCTGTGAAGTTTCTTGGGACAAGGGTTTCCGCCGTGCTGTGGTTCTTGCTGCGGAGATCGAATCGAAATCACGGTTAACAGGGTCAAGTATATCCTTATTCCATCACGAATTTGTTCCTCTCACCTCGATCGTGCGATAACTGCTAACGCGACCCGCACCACAATTCACGCTGCACGGTGACCATGGTGACCAACTGCTCACGACACAATGGACAGGTGCCGGAGCTATGGGTTTGACGTCCGGGGTGCCACCTCCGTCCACGGACTGTCCGCTAAGGATCTCCCGTACCTGAAAATAAATTCCTCCAAGGCGTTTACGTCTTTCCTTTCGCAGAGCCTAAAGATACCGTACTCACAATGGCACAGGTATTGTTGCACTCCTCGAGAGTCAAGAAGTTGTTCCTGTTACCACGACAACCACCATAGCCGAAGGGTACGCACATCAGCTTCTGCGGGACGAATGCCCATCTCTGGAAGTAGCCTCTGCAGGGGCCAGGGTTGATTTCCTCCATGCAGACCACTGTGAGACACAACGATGGACCAACGTTCTCCATTCACCTTTCTTCTTTGACATCCTCAGAAATCTTACCTTTCGCAGTCGCCATGTCAAACGTACAGTCAGCCTGCTCCAAACAAGGACGTTGCTGGACCATTTCTATCTTGGAGGAACATTCTTGCTGCTTCGACGGTTCTACCAGCAACAGTCTGGTTCTCATTTTCACGCCTTTCCCGCAGGAAGCGCTGCAGGGAGACCAATCCGACCAATCCGTCACCTGGAACAAGGTTTTGCGGCTTATGCACGGAGCATCCATGATTAAACGCGTAAGTTTAAGTGCTTCCATGCACTGGAAGCGCGCGACGAAGAGTAGTCGACTGATGGAAGATTGCGACAAGATGCATACTTTGCACGCAGGATCGATATGTTCCTGTAAGCCGGGCGGGCAGGGCGCTTCCATGCATTTCGTTCTATCGATGAGCGGTATGTTAAAGCATTGTTTACGACCCATGCGATCCCTAAACCGCCTGGTTCTCGTCCTTAACCCGGCGCCACACGTGGACGAACACTCGCTCCATTCGCTCCAATCGGTGGTATCGCAGAGGGCGTTGTTATTGGGTAGCAAACCACCGTCGTCTGGAACCTCTTCGCCCCTGGAAGCAGATTTTCCGCCGTGTTACCCGAGCGTCTTGCAGGCAACCCGCGCGTCACGAGCAACGACGTCTGCTGCAAGCACGCGTTGTCTCCACGGCTAGATATCTCTTCGATACACTCACGGGCATTCTGGAATCGACGCCACGCACATCTCCTTGGAAACCAACTGTCGGTTGCAATGCAGCATCTCTGCCTTCTGCGGCATCAGATAAGTTCTGCTACGCATCCTCAATCCCTTGCCACACGTCACCGAGCAGCTCGTCCAGGCAGAGTACTCCGTGGTCTGACACTCGGCTGTAAGTAACAAGGAAACGTCGTTAAACGCGGAATCTTCGTAAACCCGAGAAGGAAATAAGAAGACTCCGGCTGTTTCGTACGCCTGGTGGTGTCCTCCGTGTTCTCGGCGACCTCGAGCTGCGCGACTTGTTGCTGAATAGCGTCATCGTCGCAACTTCGCGGAATGGTCTTCTCCCTGTTCAAATACAGCCTGGCCAGTGGCATCATGGGTCTCCCGGTCGGGTCGTAGAACGGTGATCTAGGATCTTCGGGATACAACGTGGTGATGGGTTTCATCTTCTCTCGTGGTTTCGTTTCAGAATTAGGCGACATGTATGAAATTCCATTGTCAGTGCCAGCGTCCCACGGGTACAGATCGATTATCTCGCTCTTCGTCCAGGTGCAGTCTTTCCTGCAGAGGTTCAGTTTGCTCACACCGACCACCCAGTCCGGAGAAGGTCCCAGCATGGAAGCCACGGAGAGCAGAGGGTGTTTCCTGTCGACTCTGCGGAGAAACGGAAAAATATACGAGGCTCGAGGCTACCTGTGCTTACCTTTCTGTCACGGCAGTCGGGATACGTCGGGAATGTGGCGTAACGGCAATCGCAGACGCGATACAGTAGCAATTACCTGAAACTGGTAGTGGTGTTTTTGTTTACGTTGGGGTACCACAATCCAGCAGCTTTGACGAGCGTTCTTAATTGATTAGAGTTAGCTCTGAGCTCGGCCTCCACGCCGGACGCGGAGCCCCACTCGGCCAACTGCCGGAAGCCATCGGTGGCGACGTGGTCCTTACCCCAGAAGGAGAAGCTAGGTACATGAGAGGCGCCGATCACGTCGCTGAAATGGGTCAACCAAACGGAGAACGGAAAGTCCTTCGGATGGGTCACGTTCGACCAGATTCCTTCCATTACCAGCTGGAACAAAGAGGTGGGATTCGCTGAGAAATTGCCGATATCGCTACCCGGCTTTTATCAACCACGCCACGCATCGACTTTTACGAAGTTGTCTGCCCTAGAAATATCGAGCAGCCTGTGGGAGGTCGACGCTTGACAGTTTACAGCGCAATAGCTTATGGCGTCGCTTCGACCGAAATTCACCGAATTTCGTTCTTTTCCCATCACGATCTCTTTCACTTTCTCATCGAAATGCGATTCAACTTTGTTCGTAAATATTCAGCATACCGAAATTCCATCTGACAGTGAAACTTCGCGAAACTCGATGCTTTTTATTCGACTCTCCTCGCGTCTAGCGTATTTCGATCCTCGTATTTGACTCTGGCGAGAGCGTTTCGATCGCGTGAACGCGTCTAGCAAACACTGCACCGACTCACCGAGTATTTCGCCTCGTCGCAGGCACAGCACTTGTCCTCCTGCAAGGTCTCGGCCTCGTCTGTGGCCATTTCGCAGAAGGTCTTGGTTAGGCCGCCATCCTCGGCATACCAACGCACGTTATTCTCCAGCACCATGGCTGTAAAGACAACGCATCCTGATCCTGACGTCGGTGCCCTCCACATCGCTTGGACCTACGCCAAAGTAAGAACGTTTTATACTGTCTCGTTGCGGAAACTCGCGGGCTCTGGCCACGATAACGCGGTGGAATCAAACATCACCGACGGTTGGCCGGTGGCCAGCGGCCAGAAATTTATCCGTTATCTGCCTCCGTGCATTTTCGCGTGTATATCAACGTTATAAACCTAGTTACGAGACGCTTAAATCTGGAAAAAGGGAAAGGGGGGGGGAGGGCGAGAAATAGGTCTCTGTCGAGAAGAATTCACCTCGGACTTGGGATAATCGGAAGCTTCCGTGATGGTATTGACGCAGTCCTCGTTGAAGGTCGTCAAGGAGTCGGGGAAGAGCTGGAAGTATCCTACTCGTGCGGCGGGATTATTCGGTGCGTGTTGGGACTGCACCGACAGCGTGAACCGCGTGAACTGCTGCAGCCTCTCGTGCGTCCTCGAGCCTGTAACCGATATTCTCCTTTTCGTGAAACGCCGGAAGATTATTTACCTTGCGAAAGGTGTAGCTGATTAAACAAGAGAGCTTGGCTGCACGGCCAAGCGAGTTAAATCGCACGGGCGTGCGCTGTAAATATCGCGATCTTTGAAAGGGATGCCTGCAAACACGGGGTAAACGTCGTTACCTTGCAAACTGATCGTGTAAACAGCGTTGGGAATATATTTGTCGGCCTTCCCGCTAACGAGTATCCTATAGCCACCGTCGCCCGTGGTCCTCGAAGCGGAAGTTTGTTCCGCGGTCGGTCTCATAGGGCATCCGGCCTGCACCGCGATCACCAGACATGCTGTCACGGTCAGGAACAACATGCTGCAGTCTGAAATGATCGATGCGCTTCGGATCGATTCTGTCAAATACAAATTGCAGTCAAATTGCCTCGCTCGTTCGGTAACGAGATTAATTAACCGGTAATTATTCCCGCGAACACGGCGCCGCTAAATAATTTACGCTTCGATCGAGCAACTCCAGTCGGCGAACTGAAAAACGGTGAAACGAGTCATCTTCGCCTGAATCCTTATCTAACCCCGCAAAAGTGGGATCGAACGAGATCACGGGGTCGCATCGCGAACTTTGTCGTCGAAACTGCGCGTTAACCATCGATTTCATAACCAAACCAACGATCGTATCTCTGCCAACAATTCGACAATAACTCCGTCAGGTCGAGTTATCGCGAGTCCCCACCATCGCGACTGTTCCCATTGATTTCGAACGAGGAATCGAAAGCGAGTCGTTCGCGCCGACTCGTTAGTTCCCTCTTCGAACGTATCCTCGATCCCGTGGCCCTCTCGATCGAGAGGTTTCACCGGTGGTTGATCCGCTTGCGACACGCGTCGCTCGTCTCTCGCGCGCCTTCGCGGCGTGACGTAAGACGCCGAGTTACGAGACGTCAGATCGTTGTAGCCGGCCATGACGAGAAACTGCGACGCGAGTTACGATCGAGCGCGAGAATGACCGGTGATAAATGATCTCGGATGTCGACGATCCTAACCAGATCCAACGATCCCCCGCAGATCAGGATACCGAAAGAGCGCGCGTTCTCGAAACCTTCTCCAGGCGTTTTCGAAACTAGAGAGCGGAATATCCCCTGTCGTAGATCTTTTTAGACCATTTAGATCTGCCATGAGAAGCTAGGTAATCGTATGCTACGACCATAAACGTCCTAGATCCTTCTAAACATCCTCGACACGCGATCGTTGCCTCGTGCTACCGAACGATCATCGCCGAGAGCGTGTGTACACGCGTAACGCGATCACGGGAGGCCCGAGGCTCGGGTGCGTGAGCAGGATGCAGATGGCGTGCGTGGAACGGTCGTTTTCCAGCGATCGTCGGAAAACCGAAGGCACAGGTGCTGATTAGCGGATTACAGGGGGCAGGGAGACAAGGACTGGGCCGAATCTCGTGGAAGGAACACGCGCGTGCTCGAGAGATCGAGGCGGGCACAATGAGCAGGCGGCTAATGATCGAGCCGAGGACTAGAGATGCATCGGATTACGCGCGAGCGTGTCTGAGAAGTGGGTCGGGAGTTGGAACCGGCTCTCGAGATCGAGGCACTCTCGACATGTAGGTGTAGGTTTCTAGAACGCTGGACTCGTCGCGGATCGCAGAAACAGGGACATCGCGTTTGGCGACCGGAAACCGATCGAGTGCTGCTGCTATGGGGCGAGTGTACTATGGGGACTGGAGTTCGCGGGAGGTAAAAATCGGCCGAGTGTTTGGAAAGAGAAAATTTTACCGCGGGCATCGCGGAATAGGGGAACTTGGAAGAATACGAGTGCAATTAGATCGGAGTAGCTCGAGTGGGGGGAAAGTGTGCAGCGATAATGAGCGTTGGCGCGGGGGGCAATGGCTAGCTGGCGACTTGGCTTGATTTACGACCACTCTGTCCTTGCACGAGTCCGCGTCAATTTTTCGCTAGGAACTCGAATGAATCGTTAACGTGGATCATCAACGTTCGAGAAGGTCGTCGAGACGTGCGCGAAAGTTCGATGGATTCGCGTGCTCTATGGGAAGCGCAGAAGAAGCCAATCGGGACGGCCTACGGGCAAGTGCGGATCGTTTTCTTCCTCGCAGTCGGGGACGCTAAACGTTCGGGCAACTAAGAAAGTTCGCGTGTCCGATTAGGCCAACTTACCGATCTTCCGAGCCCCCTACTGTACCACCTCGTGCAACGCGTACCAGCGAGTATCGGCAACTTTTTCTCGCGCGGTTTCACTGCAAGCACGATGGTAATTAGCGACGAATCGCGAAGTCGCGACTGGACGATGCGCGAAAAGAACGCTATCGACGCGTAACGTCGACGAACTCTCGGCAGCCATCGCGAGCTCGCGGTTTCACGCCCCTGGCTGATTTCGCGTGAGTCAGACGCTAGTTCGCAATTAAAAATAATAGTCGCCGTGAGGTCACCGTGGCACGTAACGCGGAGCGCCTGGAGATAAGTAAAAAGAAATTTTCGGAAGGAGAAATCGGCCAAGCGATTCCACCGACCTGTTCCACCGAGCCGTCCCGTTTAGTTATCGGCAACTAAATTCACGATTGCGCAAGCGATCGTGTTTACCCGACAAGCTTTCGTCAGTGCGCAAAATATAGCAACGAGGAGATAAGCGAGTGTAAGGGTGTTGTACTCGCAGGAGCACGCGAAACGAGTCAACAAAGACGTATCCGCGGTGGCACGTAAGGCGTGGAAAACGTAAATCGTCTACTCATCTCGTGGCAAACGAGTCCTGCGATCGATCAACGACCGCTTGGAACGGTCGAATCACTGTACCCAGGCGCCAGTTGTCCGAGACAATTTACCCAACACTCTGCCGTGCACTTCCGGCCGAAATTACACGACGGAACTACTCCTGGCGAACTTGCTCGCACTGCCGCGCGAAGATTCCCAAGCACCTAGCCAGGTTGCAGACGATGAACTCGCCTCGTCCAGGCGAATTAGAACGGTCCAAGTGCCGGAACGAAACGAGACGCTGCTTCTTTTATGAGGCTCGCCCTTTCACGCGCGCTCGCGATTCCACCGCTTCGGGGTGTTTCGCTCGCGGCCAAATTCGAAGCGGTTTACATTTCACCAGGAGCCTATTACTTAACGCTGCACGCGTAAAAGATCGGCACGGACACGCTCGCCCTGCGTCCTGCCCCGCGGCAGTTTCGTAACGCTAAAGCCTACTCGTCACAGCTTCACCCTGCTTTCTTAACCCTCGAGACGACGAAATTTGTATAGAATCGACGATAGACGTTCGAAGAGGACGAGAGATCAGTACCGGACCGATGAAAGGAGATTCGAAGTGGATACAAACGCGTGGCAACCGAGGTGTAAACTCGAAGTGGTCGGGAAGATAAAGGTAATCGTGAGATCGCGCACCTGCTACGCCACTGCACGCGAAACTCGTCGACACGATTACGCGATTTTCCTTCGCGCGAACAGGCAGCAAGAAGTCGGAATCGCGACGAACACAGCGGAGCAACCGAGACGTTGAGCAAGACGGGAGAACGATCGGGCACGACTAAACGAGATGACGAACCGGACGGCCGGTATCGCGGATCAGGAAAGTCAGCAGCGGAGGTTAGAAAACTATCTCTTTCCCTAGAACCTCGATCGCTCGCCTTTCCCTCCAATCCGTCCATACGAATCCCGCCAACGTTGCTTTTACTCGCTCCTAACATTCCGCTTTAAATATTTTTCTTAGATCGAGAAATCCGATCACTAACGCGATCAACGTCGTCGAGAGGTGCGCGAATTAAATCTTCGGAGAAATTTCCGAGATCGAAGAGAAAATCAAAAAACGGGGGGAAAATGGAGACCGCGAGTCTCGTTCCCCCCGAAGCAACGAGTTGGCAGCGCGGTGCACAGTAGCCGCCGATCTAGAGCCGCTATCTCGAGTCACGAGGTCAGTTTTGGGTCGTCGTATCTCCCTGGAAACAGCTTCGTGCCAGAGATAACGACAGCCAGATAGACACCCGCCATTCCTCGATGTTTTCTTTTCTCCGGGTCGAAATCCCACCCTTTTTAACTACCCTCGCCCTTGAATTCCACGGTAATCTAATTCGACGTTTGTAAACGCGGCTATCTACCCGGTCGAAGGTAGCCAAGCGAGAAATGTCCGAGAGAAAAGATAAATTTCGTTTGTCGTGAACGAGATGTGAGCCGCGCGTGGATCGGCGCGAGAGAGCGTTCGAAAAGAGCGCGTCGCTGGCGCGAGCGAGCGTCGCGGTGGTGCGCATGCGCGGAGTTATCGAGCGTCTCTGGTACGAGGCGAGTCATCGGATTCGCTGGCTGTGTATGTCGTAGAAGCGTAAACTCGTGGCTTGTGGCGGAGTAGCGAGGAGCAGCAGCAGCAGCAGCGGTAGGACAGCAGTGATCGTGATCATCGGCGAAGAGTGTTCCCACGGGGTGGTAGAAGCGTGCCGGCATGCCGTGGTCGAGAAGACCCGCGGCAGAAGCGTGGATGTAACCGAGGGAGCCGCGATGCCGATCTCGGCTGGATCGCGATGACCTCTGTCGTCCCGTTCGGTTTCTACGCGACCGCGTCGTCTCTCGGCCGGTCGTGATTCGACGGAAGGCGCGCGTCGCGACGCGGTGCTCTGTGCGTGATCGTGGCGACAGCTGGAAACCGAGGAGGAATCGCGGCGAGAAGCACGAGGGCTGGGCATGGCCACTCTGGCGGGCAGCTCGTCGTCAGGCCTCGCCAGGCCAGCGACCATGCTGGAGCAGCTTCTCGAGGAGATCAACTTCCAGAGGACCAAGGAGCTCCGGCAGATGCTGAAGGATGGTTCGTACACGAGTTTTAGTCGAGTACCTCGTCTAGAGGCCTCGAGTCCTTTCCAGACGTTTAGTCGGTTTCGAGTATAGTAGCGACGTTGGGGGAGCGAGTGCACGCGACGAGGGTGTGTTCTTGGAGGGACCGGTGGCTTTGTTTGGCAGCCTCTGGCAGACGAGGGTGATTCCGCGCGATCGATGCCAGTGCGTGAAGGGGAAAACGAGCGAAACCGTTTTGCGTGCATGCTTGGCGAATTTTATGCTCTATTTTCGGCAACTCTGCTTCCTTTTTCTCTTTCTCCCTTTGGTCCCCTGTGTATATATACGCCCGTGTTCGCGTTCGTTTTCGTATTCGCCGTTGCGATACGTCTCGTATCGCCGTACTTAATTTAGCAGGAAAAGACGATTGCGGTGAATACATTTGAATAAGCATGCATGTTTAATCAGGCGGCGCGGCGAGGTCGAAAACATCGGGAGGAGGAGCGTGGTCACAACAAACGCCTCGTTGATTCACGCACCTGGCAGTCATCCGCGTTGTCTTTTGTGTCCCGTTGGAAATTGCGTTTCGGGTCAACGATGTGCTTTCCATCTCTGCGTGTATACTCTCCCACTCGAGCGACTACTTTTG